GCAACGTTTACTAAAGATCCTGTAAATTAAAACAATAAATTACAAATATAGTTTTGATAGAATCGAAGAAAAATAATTACCTCCTTGAGCTAACATTCTAGCTCCAACTAGATCGCCAAGAAGTACTGTAACATTTGGTGCTACGGCCATCATTCGAGATTTTAAATAATCAGATAGCGATGTTCGGTAAGTAGATATATCTAAAATCTATAATCAATAATAATTTATTACTCTAAAAAATCAAAAAAAAAAAAAAAAAAATTGCAATGTATTTTATGATAATAAAAATTACCTCATCACACATTTGTACTATATGCTGTATATCGTCTTCAGCAATCTCAGTTCCCATAGATATTTCTGCAGCAGTCTTAACTTGATCCTCTAAAGAGGGACTTAAAATAGAAGATAAATCTATTGATTTGGCATTTTCTCTCATACCTAATCAAAATAAAATGATAATATAAGTACAAAAATAAAAATAAGTCCAGCTTTAACTCATGTAGCTAAGGTTTATATTCTTAATTCATCATCCAACGATTTTTTTTAAAAAGTTATACATTACCTAACCCAAGCTATGTATTTTTTATTTTAATTATTTAATAGTAATAATAACACAATATACAAAAAAAAAAAAAAGAAAAAAAATGAAATAAATCAATTTATTACAATTTTTACTATTTGTGTTTAAGACTCTGATAGACACAAGTTTATGGAAATGACAAATAATTGATAATCTTTTGAAAAGTCCTGGAAACGTGGAAATTAGTCTTTGAAAGTTTTTTACTTAAAAAAAAAAAATTTGAAAGTTGAATAGTTATTTCCTAGAGGGAAATACTCTAATAAGTAAGTGAATACTAAACAACAATTATTAAATTATTAAGAGCAAATACTGAACATAGTTCCTAAACAACTAAAATTTTTTTTTTTTTTAGAACACCATAGTTTATTACAGCTTACCAAGTACTTTGATTGTTTTAACATATTCTAAATTGTCTGTAAGAATCTTTCCAAGTTCTGGGAAATGCCAACCATACCATTCTCTGCATCGCATGATGTAATTATTTACTTCTTTATCAAGTTCATCTAATAGTCCAATTGCTTGAACTATCATTGTATCAATTTTGTCTGGGCTAAATTTTAACTTATATCGGGACAAACTATAAAAAATAAATTTATTTTAAAACTGATTTATAAATAAAATAATTAATATATGAATAAATTAAATATATTACCTATGAGCAAGACCTAAGGACATAGCAGTTAAGTCTTTTTTAGGAAGACCAACCAATAAATTTTCAAACTGAGACCGAATGCATCGTAACAAATCGGCTGCAGAAGAACTTGAAACACAGCTGATATTAAATTTATCTTTAATAGCTGCACCCAATTTAGGGTCAGCAACCATTAACGAATCACTACTGTTGACATGTGATTTAATAACCTAAAAATTGAAACAATATAAAAAAAAATCTAAAAAATTATAATTTGTTTTAATAACATACTTTCTTCAAAGATTTGCATAATTTTCCTTCAATTAAGGAAGCAGCTGACGCCAAAGCTTCTGTAGTGTCATCAAATTTTTGAAAATGTTTCAACTTTATTCTGTAATTAATTAGTTTTTCAATATTTAATTTAATAAATAATAAGTTTTTAAATGTGCATTAATAAAACAAGTAAGTGAAAAACAATGATTGTATACATTTTCTTAGTGAAAAAATGCAATATAAATATTAACATGTCATAAAAATTAAAACATATATTTAAAATTTAGTACTGACAACTATAATAGAATAACATGAATATTAATTTTTCATCACATTTGTTATGACTTAAAACTATTACAATGAAAATATTTAAATAAAATATAGTGTCTATCATTTATTAATAAATTGCTGCTATGGAGTGACCAGGATGTTTGTGTTTGTATAGCACAACAACATAAAAAATAATTATAGTAATTTATAATTTGATCTCCTTTTTTTCTTCATAATAAAATTGAATGCATGAAATCATCTTGGTAAAATGAATAATGGGGACTTGTAGATTTTATTCAGTTCTTAAAATCTAAAGAGTTGACCTAACTACAAACAATTAATCAAATTTATTAACAGGTTAGATTGGTGATTGAAACTGGAAAATAAAATTAATAGTTGAACAACAATCAAAGTTAACATGTGCACATATATTAATCATCAAAAAATAGCTAAAACTATCAAACTAATTTAAAACAATTCCTAGTTTTAATTTTAAATTGTGCTTAAAGATGGTCAACTATAATAAAAATAAAATTAGCCTATTAACAGCATTTAATCTAGGGTTGATATTAACACTTCCAACTTTGTAATATACCTAATATATAAGCCCAGTAACATTTAAATAAAAATAAAAAGGAATATTTAGTTACATTTTTGAAGTTGCTTCTGGTGACTCGAAGTGGCTGTACAGATCACTGACATTTTTCAATTTTTTTTCGTCCAGTAACTGAAACACGAAACGTTACACGTATAATTTTTAACATTGTAGACAAACATAAACGTGGTAATGAATAATATTGCTTATAAAAACGTCAATATACCTTAAATATAGCGTAACCGGCAGAAGTTTCGAATAGAACCAACATATTTGATGTTGTTTTGGATCGTCAACTGTTGAAAACCATACAATACAATAAAGTTGTATTTAAATACGAAAATTTGAATCAATTAACACAACACTCAACTAGTAAAACAGACATGATACACGCACGTGTCGAATTTCGGTTTTTAAACAACATTGAATATAATAACTGGGAAATGTATTCAACACCCGTCATTTTTTAAGGTTAATACATGCCGCTAGTCATGGATGAAAAAGATATTCAGTGATGTCTACAAATTAAAAATGTTTAAAACTTGGTTGAATCCATCTACTATCACACTATCACAGAATAAAATATGTTTTTGGGTTCTTTAGTTAGTACCATTGTGCTTCAATTTTAAATTTCAAATATTTCAATTAGCATTACTCTTGAAATTAGGTCATAATATTATATACGCGTTTGTTTAATACTTAATAGTACGCTACACTCGCATGACCGCATGTGGGGTCTTCGTGTTACAAATGCATAGCATAGTTAATTGTTTGATCTGAAAAATCCATTTAACTGTCGTGTTATTATTAAAGTGAATTTACGTAATTATCAAATTTAAAAGTAAGAATATTACCCTGTGAACCTCGTAGGCCTTCTTTATATTTTTATTTTAAAATGAATTATAAGCTTTTTGAAAATCTAAACTGTTATTATGTTTTAAAATGCTGCTCATAACTTACTTGAGAATAAATATATAAAAAAAGACCGAATTTCACTGGTTTATATTCTTTATTTAAAATTTGATTATAGGTAAATTCACTGTAATATTAAACACGATAGAGTCAAATAGATTATTCAGATTGAAGAATTTGCTATTCTACACGTTTGTAAGATGGTGACATAGCATGCAGATGACGCACGTCTTTCTCTCGATACGGGGAGTACTAGGCTGGTGATTATTGAGTTGGCATCAAAGTTTGATGCAGCCACGTTTAATTTAATTTGTCATGCTAATATTATGATCTAAGCACGGCTAGTGGTGAATCTAAGTGTAATTGTATGATGTACTGGTTGGACTAGAATATTAAGGTTATTTTAAATGACGATACGTGCAGTAGATACCATTTGGCGTTTTATATAAGTTATTAGTTAATGCCTTCAAAGTTTTAAAGCTTTGGCCATAAAATTAGAAAATAAAAAAGTCCGTTCATGAATATTATAATTTGTCAAAGAAAATAAATATTCTAGGTATTTACTTGACTACTTAATACTAATGAAATAAGAAACTTGCATGATGTTAGTGGGAATACGATATTTTCCCACCACGACGTTAAGGCTAAAGAACATTGATTCGCGAATCATGATCTGTAGTTCCATACAACTGATTTATTGTTATCAATTAGTAATTATAATTTTTAAACCATAAATTAAATAGTAAATACCTATCTGTCTTGAATATTTTAAATTACACATGATGTAAGTTATGATAAATTAAAAATCGCCACTGACTTGTTAACAGTAGTACAGGACAGTAAATTATTTAATCAAATAATTTAAAAAACAAGCAATAAAAAAAATGGTTGTGGGCTTAGTACTGTATTCGATTCAGCTATCCATAACTATTGACATTGATTTTGAATATACTAATGTACTATGTATTTGGATTTGTTTACTGTATACTTAGCATAATCAATACAATTGCCTATTGGCTATTATACATACATTATATACAAAAAATATAGTTAAATTGTAATTTTATCTTTTAGTGATAAGTGAAAATGTTTTGCAATTTTCAGAATGAATCTAATTTGCACAAATTTTTCATTTAAATGAAGTAGCAAATGATATTAGAATACAACTGATCATATTTTTGTTCATTGTATTTATTAATATAAATTTCTTATGAAATTTTTGTGTGACTATACAAGTTTACAGAGAAAAAAGCTGATCCATTAAAAAAATAATTAGATTAATGATATATTTGACAATGAGTATAGATTGTAAAGAAGGTAGAACTAATTGTATTTTTTAATTATTTTAATATTTTATATTAATACACATTACACACAATGCGTACTGAAATTTTTATAATTTTTTATCTTGAATAATTTGTTGATTCTAATTATAAAATTTAAAACTAAATAAAAGAAAATATTAATTATCTTATTTATTATACTTTTATATGTATATGTATAAATATATATATATATATACATAAAAAATAGCAAATTAATAATTATAATAAAAAGGAACCTGTATCTGATAAATTAAAATTGGTTTCTAAAAAAATTATTACAATTAAATAAAATTCTATTTGTATCAAATTTTAAAGAAATGCACAGAATAATATAGACACACACAAAATAATCATCATGTAAGTATGTATTTATTTAAATTTGTTGTTGATTATAATTTGATTTTTAAACAAATGACATCACTGCACTGCTAACATATTTAAAATAAATTTAAATCTGAAAATTTAAAAAAAAAAAAAAAGTTATTTTTTTAACAGAATAATTATGTTATTATGATTTTATTGATCTTACATTATCAACAGCATTGTCTGCTTCTTCATCATCGCTAATATCATCTCCGAACTCAATATCTTCATCCAATCCATCATCAACAAATGTGACTGTATCATTGATGCGAACTAAGGATAATAAATTTATATGTCAATTATATTTTAAATATCTTTATAAATTAATGAAATTGTTATTACCAGTTTCTGGAAATTCTCCATAAGTTTTTAAGTTACGAGCTTCATCTGGTGTATACTTCAAAATGACATCAGCTTTTGTGTCTTGATATTCACGTAAACCTATTAATACTATATCAGCTTGATTAATCCACACCTAAAATTAAAAATCTATTATACAAATAAACCATTTTTTATTAGACTATAATTAATATTTATTTAAACAAAATAAAACAATATTAGTGAAAAGCTTTACTTCAAAATAAATATATAAATTAAGTATATTTTTTATTATCTTGTCTACATCCTAAAGATAACTAAATATAAAATGTTTCATTCAGTAAATCATTTGTAGGTTGTTAGTTTTAATACAAATGAGAATTAATCTATTATAAATGTTAAAGGTAAAAACAGTACCTGTATTTAAATGTTAGGGTTTTTTTTAATTAAAATTTTTTGGGAGTTATGAGCACTTAATCTTAATAAAATCAATAATCTTATACACTCATATTCACTTAAGAATTTGAATATTGTCAAATTTCAATTTTAACATTATATTCAAAATTAAATAAGGGGTTATAACTTATAAATTCATTATTTAATTAGAATAGTGTAAGTTAACTTTGAACAAAATGTAAGAGGTTTAGTTATAAATAATGCAAACATTTACAATATTAATAAAAATTGAGTACCTTTTTCCTAAGTTTTCCTCGTATGTGACAGAGTCGTTTAACACCATCAAAGCACATAGCTTCTAAACGACCATTTCCCAACATTTTGGTAACTTGAGCGTATTCTGTACAAAAAAATGTAAATATAATAATGTTTTTAATTGAAAAATAAATAAATTAAAAGTAATAGAACAATTATCTTTGATTTTTATTTAATAAGTAAGTGTAGTTATAAAATTAAATATAAATGTACAATACCCTAATTTGAGTTTATAGGAAATTAATTAAACATATAAACAGTATTTAAGATGTATTTTATACTTAAAATAATTATAAATAATTACTATACATTTCGTTGCAAAAGTGTGAATCCAAAATTGTGAAATGTAATTTAAAATTTATTTTCTTTAGAAAGAAAACCTAAATTACACAACATTCAACAGTAAAAAATGGTTTAAATTCGGTAAGTAGCAATGGAAATGTAGGATTTTATTCTGTTATGCAATTTACAATATTATATTATATGAGATTCACATACATATTTCTGCTCAGACACGAGACCCATAAAATGTTATAGTTACAAATGTCTCAAATGAAAAATCACTATTTAAACTTGGATTAATAAATATATATTTTATTTCTAATTAATATTTAATACGTTTTATAAATCAGAGTTATTCATCTTATTGTTCTATGTGTGTATATATACACAATTCCAAGGTTATAATAATATCTATCAATTTGTTTTTATATTTTTATAATTCTTTAAATACATACAAAAACAATGCTTTAACACTATATCCTAATCTTTTATTACACACTATTTATTCTAAATTACTTATAATGCTAAATCATTCCAAAATCATTACATGCTGCATATACTGAATACTTAATAAAATATTAATACCTTGGCCATCTTCTTTGAACACCAATTCTCGCTTTTCAGTTTCATTTTCGTTCTTACCACGCCTACGATTTTTACCTCCCTTTCCTACGGGCATAAAAGATAATATTAAAAAGTAAGATGAAATATGGTGTGTAAATAATTATAAATACCAAAAACACTGGATTAAGTAACTGAACACTAAAAGCATGAACGAATTCCTTACCTTTATTCTTAGGCATTATGTATTGATGACTGACGTGACTTGAGATTAAAAGCTTACTGGTTAATGAATCGGCTGATGATAAACGATTTCTTAACTAAAAGATTCACAACGTTTTTCTCAAATATCTATTAGAAAATAGAAATATCTAAAGGAACGCGTTTACGCGTAAGGCGTTATCAAAATCATCAGTCCACTTTGATCTAAAAAACATGATTCAGTGATTACTGACGGTATTTACTGGTTATGGATCACTTACCTTTTGTTCCACAATTCAGTTGTTCCAAAAGCAATTTGTTCGAATTGAATAAATATATTGTAATATGCTCAATACCTACTTTCATAATTCATGTAACATTTTTATTTCACAATAAGCGTTAGTACTTGAAAAATTAACACCGAGATATCTTTTCAAATATATTATCACTATTGATCAATATAATGAGTGATTTATTAAAGTACTAATTGGGTTCTAAGTTCTACACATCAAAGTATGTGTATACTGTATATAATATATAGGTATACAATTAGTAGTCTTAACTAGAATGACTTCTAATATGAACTATGATTTGACAGCGGTGACATGATTTAAAAGACGCAACTGTGAGGTTGTGGCAGTGTAGTTAAATTATGAGGTCTCTGGTTTAGGAGAAAAGGGACGGAAATACCATACATAAGGTCAGTGATTAACACTATTATAAGTCCTAAACTAGAAGTTTCCAAACTATGGGTTACGATCATATTTTTAGTGGGTCGCGTTATATTTTTAAATAATATAATTGTTTTAAATATATGGTCATTGAAATCGAAAAAGTTTAACCCCTATCCTCCTCCATTGGGCACGCCACTGTATATTAGGGTAATATTTTATAATATGAAGAAGTCCGCAATACAGAATTTGTAGATGTACCATAGTCCATAGAGTCTACGGCACCTGCACGCTTCACAAGTCATACAATAATTGTATTTTTTATTTACTAACCTGTGTTATACTAAAATAAACAACCTGTTTGACTTAAATCGACTTGAGCAAATCATAAAATTCACATTTGATTATTTGAACCACGGACAATTCGTTCGTTACAGTATATATTTTGTTTTGAGAAATATATTTTGTTCCGACACTTATTTATTCCAATGATCAATTTATTGTTCCACAATTTTATTTACGAGTAGATAATATATCACTGTGTAACTAATACTTCCAAATTTCAAGTATATTATAAATTTGTTCTAAGATTCATTGTTCTAAACTTTACCTATTCCAATGTTGGTTTAGATACCTACTCCAATTTACATTTGTAGCAAATAACCATTTTGAACATTTTATTACATAGGTACACTATAATATATTATCAAAGTTTTGAATAAATGTTTGTTGAAATAAATGTTATTTGGAATAAACAATGGTTTGAACAATTAATAATAGGACTATAAAAATGATTTATAACGACGATGTATAGAGATTTTTTTAAAGGCCAGGATTATGAAGTTCTTACCTGTTTTCCGTTTGGTTATGTATATTAAAGTTGAGAAGTAAGCCGTATTATAGATAATGGAATTACTTATGAATAACATTATATTAAACTTGCATATTTTATTTATAAATATTATAGATTTTATACATTTTTTTATTACAAAATATTCATAGTTTGTTAATTTGTATTATTTTGATGAATTATGTAAACATTATTTGAACTTAAAATATATATGTAAAAAAATTGTGCCTATTTATTTATAAAAATTTTATACAGATATAAAAAAAACTTATGTGGGATATTGTATTAAACTATTAAGCTTTTAAGAATTTTGATTTAGAAAATAATTATAATAAAATAAAATATTTTTGAAATAACATTATGTTTAAAAAATGATAATTTAAACATTTGGCGAAAGTATCAAATTTTCAATTATTTTTTTTTTTTTTTTTTTTTTGAATAACAGCGAATAGCAAAAATTGTTTGAGGATCTATTGTAATAAAATATCATTTTAGAAATTAATTTATCGTTCCGAAAAAAATTTTTGTTTAAAAAAGCCTCAACATGAATAAAAAACTATATATTACATTTTCAAATTTTAGGTAGGTAGGTATATGTACAGAAAATCTATTATACATTTTTAATTATAAAATATATTTAGTAAATTTTGAGACTTTAACTAGTAGCCAAAATTTAACTTTAAATGCTTATAAAAAGTATTGTGACTAAAAATTATTGATTTTTTTCAATTAGGAGTCTATTAAATTAATTACACAGTGTACGAATGTACGATAAAAAAAATTAAAAAAATAAAATTACTAATATACTGAAAGTTCCTTGTCATATTTCGAGAATAAACAGACGACAATATGGGTGGAACTATATTTGATATCTTAACTCTTAAGTCATCGCTAACAAAAGTTTATGACATGAATTATATCCATAGAAAAACACTCCTATAGGCTATAATACATAAAATACATGATATAAGTACGTACAATTCTAATAGAATTTATATTTACATGGTTATATTATAATAGTTTAATAAAATTTGTTTAAGAATATAAAATGTTGTTTTTAAAAATGTAGTAAATAGTAATCATATTCTTATTATTATTGCGTACACGAAAAATTATTAAAGTTAATTGAGTTTCATAAATTAAATTTATTTACTTTAAAAACTTGGCTATTGGGGTTGGTCGATCCTTATCCTCCAATTACGGCCTTGGTTATTGATTATATATTGTTCGTTCTGCGTATAGATGATAATAAACAAAAATAACAATACTAATAATTAATAATTTTATTATCTATATGACATATTTACGAGTAACATGTATTCAGTATTGTGAACAGAAATAAACGAATTTTATTAGTATATTATACAGACGGTAGATTGTCGTTTTCAATTATATTTTGTTGTTCTACTGGTTTATCTGTTGCCCATGGTTGTATTTCCGCCGAAGCGAAAATAGCATATAAAATTGCCATCGCTAAACATACTATCGCCATAAGCATATCAGCTGTGGTATCGTTAAGTATCTTTGTGAAAACGTAATTGCAACAGTTAATTTCGTTTGATAATATTTAAATATTTTTATTTTATTACCTTAAAATTAAATGTCATACTTAGGAGTGTGTCCAACAATGAATTGAAAATAACATGTACGGTGGTCAGAATACTAAAAAGTAAACTAGCATAGTTTGGTGCAATATCTAAATGGTTTATGTAAAATCCTGTAAAAATTGACATAATTTAGATTTCTAACATTACAAAAGTAGTTTTAAATATTATATATTTCACATAATTTTATACTTACCGAAAATATTGATGTATTCCATTTCTATAAGTACAAAATGGTAAGTTGTATAGGTTTCTAAAGTGTTACCGATATTGGCTTCCAGAAAATAATATATGCTTATTGAAATAAAATATAAACAACTACAAAACTTTCTGATGTTGGTGGTCGAAATGGAAACGGTAATTTCTGGAACTAATTCGACTAAGACGATGATGAGAAACAATACAATGGTAGTGTATGTTCTCAAATGCCATTCTGATAATTCCTATGTAGTCAAATAATGTGTTAAACGTTAAATATTAATTTCGTTTATAGAGAAATTTAAATGTTTTGGTGTTTAATAAAAGACTACTTACTTTTACGTAGAATTCACCATTTATTTTTTTAGTAAAAACTTGACCATTACACGCGTATAATAAAGCAATCACAAGGACATGCTTAGAAGTAAACAACGATTTCCATGGTATGTCCGATACGATTGAATGGATTAATGAAACACCAGGTTTTTCAAAAGAATATTGCGGGTTGTTTGAACCTCCAAACAATATAATATCACGGTTCAAGTTTCGAAATTGATTACCATTGATCACGTACAACCACAAAACGTACCACGCCAACCCGATTACTCCTAATAAAATACATTGTATCGTGTTAGATTATTATTCTGGTGTTCAAGTGTGTTGAGTATCGCGACTTAAATGTAAGTATACCAATAGATAGAGTTAACGTATAAGACGAATATATATGGTGGAGATTATTAATAATACTCTCTTTGAAATTTTCGCTTCCATATATCAACTCATACATTACTATTGGAGCGTGACGTATTGTCTGCATATTCAGCGGAATCCAATATGTCCAAACCCTATCAAACGCTGAACTCGCCGCGGCCTAGGGCATAAATACACACCATAATTATAAATGTTTGTTATGTAGTCGAACTTCACAATTAATTATCTTATTTTTACCTCGGCCATTCCCAAACAAAATTGTAAGAAAAAATGCGTGTAAGTGTTTATGTAACATAAACTCATGACTACAATTAAATGACCAATTGACGATATGATGATGGAAAGCCCTAAAATACTAAAAACACCATTTTAAAACTATACTGCATTATGGTAATACACTTTTAGGTGAGGCGTAGGGTTTGGCTAGGATTTATATGCATGTTAGAATAAAGTTTTCCCAAATAATAAATTCGCGTAATACGCAAGTCGCTACAGAAACTATTTAAAGTTAAAACAAGTATACATTTTTATTTTAAATTTCATCAAATTTAAATTTACATTATATATATTTATATTATAAATCCTGGCCTTATATTATGTCTATTAAATATATTAATTAATTACTTGTGAGCTGGATAAACGGTGGCCAAGATACCGACAGGTATCAAACTGATAATATATCCATACTCGTAGAAATATAAGTAAATAAAATGGGAATTGTCAATCTGTAATCATACATTATTATTTAAATAGATAATTGAAAAATAGGTATTAATGTATTATCAAATCTTTTTGATATATTCAGCGGTATATTTGTGGTAAATAAAAAAATTGAAAACAGTTATTTTGCATGGGCAGGCACTTACTTTATTTTGATCGGACAAAAACTCAAAATACATAAAATGTAAATAACATTGAAACGACAAAATTGATAAACCTATAAAAAAAAATATTAGTTTACTATACAAACATATTATTTAATATATTATATATATATATATTTTAAATTATATATTTCCGTCTAACAGGTTTAACTAAAAATAGAGTACCAGAGATACCTATCTAATAAATTTCAATTACTAATCAACAAGAATTCAGCTATAATAAATACAAGATAATTATAAGTACCCTTTACCTTCTAATAAATTAATTATTACAAAGTATTATTATTAGAATATTTAAATATATAAATAAACTTAAAGATTTGGTTATAAAACATAGAGTACCTACATAATTTGTGAAATTTTGCTAATTTGCTTTTTTCATATAGAATATAGACACATTGCCACCTTAATTGAAATATTAATGTTTGAATGCTAGTATAGACGATTGAAGACGAGTGAACATCACCGGAGTATTGATAGATGATAAACAAGAAACTATAAAATTCTAATTGAAAAAATACTACAATTTACCTATAAATCCAAGTAAAATTATTGCATATTCTCTGTTCCAATAAGTAGTTTTCAAACAGATAAATCTGTCGATGAGTCTGTACGACGGTTGTTGAAAGTGAGAAGAAGAATTCCATCTATTGGTCTCGTTTTCTCTGAGATTCATCCTTCACTCCTTGCAATTAATCGGTTGGTTGGCGGATTCAGCTGTGCGGTTTTTTTGATGTTCAAATGTGTTAAGATACTCTATAGAGAATATATTTTTAAGCACCAAAAATATAATAATATTTGAATATTTTAAAATATATTCTTTAACTATGAAACAGCTATTATTTACTAATTTTTTTTTCATTAATAATTTGTTTGTTAATTTGTATAGTATAAAAATATTGTTGAAAATTAAATGTACAAACATTTAAATTTAATTTAATAGGGGATAGATAAAAACATTATTTTCCTTTTTTAAATAACGTTTTTAGTATTTTAACAGTAAACATAAGTTGTTGTTAATTTAACCATGGTATTTTTTTAAATTTAAATTACCTATTTGATGTTCGTTTTTGAAGTTTTTTTCTAATTTATATGATCGGAATAAAAATACTGAAAAAAAGTTGTAAATAGATTATACACTAAAAATTTCAAATTTTTACAGTTATATGTTTAAAATTTATTATTAATCCGGTATGTGTATTTTACGGCCAGAGTGCAGTACAAGCAATGAATATCTAAGCATAATTATTAATATTATATACTAAAATTATAAAGAGCGAATAAACTATATATGTGTTCAGATAAACAATTCTATGATAAAATTTTATTATAATGTATTATATGACAATAATTATCTTTTAAATGTCATACTTTCCTTGAATTCGTCAATTTATTATTTTTTTATTTGTCCGCCATATGAATCAATATAAAATAAAAATAATCTAAATTTTAAAGTATATTTTGTAATTAATTTAAACATTGAAACAGAAATTATTTTGAATTCGTAACACATTATATACGTTTAGAACTTTCACTCTTACGAAACCGGCTGAAAATATGTCTTGTTTCGTATCGTTAACTAAAATATTAATTAACATAATATGTCTGTATTATGGTAAAGTGTGGCCTTTATTGTTAATATTATACAATAGAAATAACATAACAAAATCAGTACAAAAATATAAAAAAATTTTCAGTTAAATTTTATAAATATAATTTTGATGCTGTGGGTAACATAGATAGGTAATGTTTGAATCATATCTAGTATCTAATTCTAAAATTAGTATTTTGATACTTACCAATTATTTAAAATGTTTACGTCGTTACTCGATTTGGCTGCAGAATTTTTTGTACAAGAATGAAAATAGGTAATATTATTAGATATTATAGCTATGTTTATTGAATGACAAATTAGAAAGGTATCATCACGGTTTTTTGATACGCAGTCCCCGCTCAAATATTTCTTCATTTCGTCTATGTCGTAGTTCTCCATATTTTATTGGCTGACATTATTATTGTTGCGTAAATACAAAATGTTTTTATCATCGTAATTCGTAAACTGTTACTTAATTTATTCTGTGTACCTACTTAGTTACTTCTGTCACTGAATAAAATATATGACTATTCTTTGCTTCAGTTAGTGTTTTTTACTAAAAAGAAAAATTGACAAAAAATTGAAATTTGATAATATGTAATGATAATAACATGGGAAACAAAATAAACCAATCAGAAGTGAAGAACTACGACATAGGCCAGGGGTGAAGGAGATGCGCATACCGTGCAAAACTAGTACTACTGTGATGATATTTACCTATCTAATTTATTATGGTTTATTATATATTATATTATTAAATTAAGATTATTATTAAGTATTTTATGTAAATTAATGTTACTCTAACAGTAATTTACGAATTCGTAACACATATGGTCCCTAGTGTAGATTAACGAACTTACAGCAGTAGTTAGTGGTATCTGTTACTACTGATATATATTTAAATAATTATTTTTGACATGTGATGTGGACTGTACTTTGACGGGATAACTATTTGACAAATAATAGTATCCAGATAGCATTTTTTGCATTGATAATGTTTTATAAATGTCAAATTTTCACTACAAACTTATTATTATATATGTTATTATTAATATTATATTCTGATTATATTATTTTATAAAAATGAATTGTTTAAATAATATTATATTAGTAGGTTTAATAATCCATATTTTTACTATAATTAATTTGCATTTTTTAAATATTTCTTATCAAAATTACTCCTGTACCTATGTTTAAATTATCATTAAAGTATAATAAAAAATAATACATTACAAAATAATAATAATAATAGGTAACAAAATACTCTCAATGAATTATTGTTATGATATTAAAAACGAATTATTAAAATTATATTACTGTTAATTGTTATTATTGTAATGACATAATAATAATCTAAGAATACTATCAATATGATATTATAATGGAAATAAAAATAAAAAATGTTTGTACACGCATACACACACACACACACGCACATATATATTATATTATAGTAGAAAATAAACAGTATACGAATATATTTTTATATGAAAAACCCGCGTTTCATGTCAACTTCTTTTTTAATTTAGCGCTTACAAACAAAATAGTTGCTTTTTCAAATCAAAAGCAAGCCAGATTTCGCAATTGGTTTTCTAAATTTTAAGCGTCAAATGTATAACATGCAATCCTTTAGCATATGATTGAAAATTATAATGCAATGATGATTGCTAGAAACAAGTTTCCAAATTTATTTTTCCAAAATCAATTTGGATTAAAAAATGAAATCTTTAAAATTAAGCTGTTAAACCTTATATGTAGTATGATAATAGTTAAGATTATTCTTTTAACACTGTGTTTTCGTGTTTCACATTCTTCCATTCAGGATTTGTTCAGGAACGACTAACCAATAAATACAAGACATATATTTCAACACAACGACTTTTTCGCATCGTTTTAACGTCAATGGTTATTGCAGTAAATCCGTACAACAGTTCATCAAGCAGTCCAGTCTCGGTTACTGGTTAGGTTACCAAATGAACTTATTTTATGTCCTTGTCGTTATTAGCCGCGGTCAGTTCGCTGTTACTAGCTACACACAGGTCGTAGCCGATCGGTCGGCAGTCGTCTCATCTGCATTTTCTGTACGCCGCGGTCGCTCGTCCATAATTGCTAACATAACGACTCTCACACTCGTGTTTAGGTTTTCGGCTGCGGTTGGTTTCGACGTATAGCCATGCACAAATATTATTCAGTTGCGAATTAATTGTATTGTACGATTAAATAAAATACAGTTGTTAATTTTGAAATATCGCGCTCGCGAATTCAGTCTAAAATAAACAATAAGCGTAATCGTCTATCTGAAAAACGTTGAAATTCCTTTCTATTTTTTAAATCAACATTATCGGACGAAATGGTTTTCATCACAATCATCATAAAATATTTGGCACTTACACACTTATTATTCATTTTAGAGATGACGTGTGGGTGAGAAATTCCATTATACATAAATGTATGATATTTATTAAAATAATATATAACGGAGTTGCTTGCACAGAAAGTATCGAGTTATTTTATGAAACCTAGTTTCTACAATGATTTTACGACCGTTTTATTCCTATTTTTGTTTTTAAAAAATTCAGAAATGAGGCAACCTTTATAATCTACTGACCTTGCATTATAATATCTATTCATATCACGCGCGTTATCATATCATTGGCATTATGTACTACATCCTATATATTTTTTTGAAATCAAATTTTATAAAGGATTTTCTGTTAAAAAACCTAGTAAATTATAAAAATCCTTCATAGCGAAGTTTTGTGGAATATTAAATATGTTATTTATATGCTATGTTGTATAACTAAATTATTTAAATCATATCTATTATAATTGCATGTTAGATAAAATATTTTAATATATTATATTATAATGTATTATGGCAAGCAGTTATAGTCAAATATTTATTAGACATCCCGTAATCGTTCTAATTAATTATCAATTGAAAATTTTTAATTGTTATGTCATGGGATTTACTGCTAATCATATTCAATAATTTTCTGTTTTAGACAATAGCTGTAAATGACGTATAAAATAAGAAAATAATTTAATTAATTAAATATTTTAATAAAGTATGATTTCTATACAAATATTATTAATATAGTCTATGAAAGTGCATGTGATTATATAAAATAGGAGTTTGTTACCTAATGTTATTATTATCTAATATATAATGATATTATAAAATGACAAATAAATATAATATAATATCGAAAATGTAATAAGGCACTTCGAGTATGCAATATTGATGCTTGCACGCATAATATTATTACAACTCTACTTGGATTGTTATTACTAATAACTTATTAGTAATTAGTAATAATGAGGGCTAGAATTTATATGCAAAAAAAAAAAAAATTGTAAAATATACAATTAATATCATATACAACAAAAAATATAAAATATACGCTTTAAAAAAGTCATACGATTTAAAATTAATTAAATAATATTCTTAACTATTCACGCTATTCAAATGTATTACACAAAATAATTACACGGTGTTTTAAATATTCAAAACTAATCGGTCTTTTGTTAGACCTTAATATAGGTGTACCTTAAATAGGTATTTTTGAATAGCGTTAATACATACTGTCGCATGATAAAAACGTCTAGTAATGAAATATACCTCAAAATATGCATTTTCGCGTTTTTATAGTCGAAATATGCAACAATATTAATTTTATTCAAAATATGCAATAATATGCATTTTGTTCAATATACGCTAAAATATGTAAAATAAAATCACTACTGTTTGTATCATTATGATGTGATTCATGGAAATTACTTACAAAAGCAATAATCAGAAGTTGCAAAACAAATATACTGCCCCGTATATATATTGGAATAAAGTTTTTGAAATTTGATGAGAATTGCCTCTGATTAAGATCATTTTTATTAAAATAGCACTAATTGTATTTTGAATATTTTGCATATTTTAACGGTTTTATCTATAAAATGCATATTTAATGCATGTTACTAGTTTTATAGTGCATATTATTATTTAAAGCACATATATTTGTTTTTCGTTTTATCTTTACATTCACAGCTACATAATATCGATAAAATTACGACCGGTCGTTATTGTCAAAGATAAGATGACATATTCACATGCAAAATTTATATAGTATATTAATATAGATCATTTTTTGTTTTAATTTTTCATTCATTTGGACTAATATTTTATAGATTGAAGATAAAGAATGTTAAATGACGAAAATGGTGAAATATTTTTTTATATTTTTAAAACCTTTTTATAAATTTTTAAGATTTAGTTAATAAAAATTTATTTTTTATATAATTTTTAATAAAATGTTTTTGATTCAATTTTTAGTGCATATTTAATAATATATGCATATTTTATAGCATATTAGAGGGTTTTTAGAAGCATATTTTGAGGATTTTTTGTGCATTTAAATTCCGTCCCTAAATATCAGTATTCAATTCAGTTAGCAAACAATCGACAAATTAGACACCATAACGTACTTCAGAACGTGTATAAGAACGAATATTTATATATTAACATCATTTTTATGTTAACATGTCACATACCTACTTATGTGATTTAAATTTTATTTTTTTAAATAATATTATACATGTTACAGTATGTAACATCCGTTGCCCGATAGAGACACACTGTTGTCAGAAATGCTAGCGCAGTCGGTGGAGTTACTATCTCTTGAACAATGAACGACTTCCATCATTTTTATGAGGGGCCGAAAAGCGATGCGGTGGAAACAGTGATGGTATAGGACGTTGTGCCGGCCTGCAAGGTGCCGGAAGTGAGAAATTTGTTTGCTAACCTGATCGGTTGGCTAAAACCGGATGTGACCGTACTGCAACGAGAATTAGCGTCTGCAGTCCAAACTATCACTCCCTTTGGCCGAAGACATTGGAAAAGACGATGGTGAGGTAATAATCTGAGGTTGATACGAGAAAAAGCACGGAGGTGTCTAGTGGTAAGTTACCCACGTACGTTTTCCGACCACTCGCGGTTTGGCGGGCGCCTGACTACTTTGGTCGCGCAAAGCAACAGACGACGATGACACAGCGGTTAGCAGTACCGACGCAAGAAACGGATTCCGTCTTGACTGCAGTACCAATGACACGGCGATGGTGACTCGTTGCGACGGCGGAGGAGACTTTGGCACGGAGTGAATGAGATAGTTAAAGCTAGGAACGCGGACGTCAGCGCCGCCAGATCCGCGGAAACTCAATGTTTCAGGGTTAGGTTAACCTAGCTTGCGACTCTGGCGGTCACCGTATGTAGATACGAACGATGGGACGCTAGGATAAGAAGTCCAAGGAACTGTGCGGCTCTCATTTTAGTCTCGCAACTATTCCGCAGCATCATATCTTCGTCCCCTTCGCAAGTTTCGGTCACCACTGTCATTCGCCACAGTTATCTGCTGTGCTGTCGATATCCTCGTTTATTGTGTTCTTCCGATGTACTTTTTTTCCTTCTTTTTTTTTTTTTTAATCTCGTTTATAATTTTTTCCTTTTTCTAAAGGCCAATTTTTTCATTTATATTAATATGTTTTATTTTGATTTTTATTTAGATTTCGTTACATATCGAGCCTTATTTTCAAATATATATATATTTAATTGTTTCGTTATTAAAAATATGACATGTTGTCTGAGCTTTCGAGCCACATTTTTGTTTGTTTTTTTTTTTAAAGGACAATATTTGTATTTATTTATACATTTTTACGTTTTGTTTTGAATTTTTTTTGTCAAAAATACTTTTTGCATTTAATAAATTTAATAAATTTTGTTAAAAAAGCTAATAAAATTAAATATTGTTCACACAAAAAATTGCTTTATTTTTCGTATTGTCGACTGTCGAGTATATGAAGCAATATTTTTTGCAAGATATCAAACAATTTTTCAATTTGCAGAAAATTAGACTTCATTAAACCTATGGGACTGCTTGAGACACGAGATCTATGCACATTTTTTTCATCTTGCTGTTACTTAGTGGGATAGAATTCCCACCTTTATCATAAAGTATCAATTAGATCCAATTTTCATGTAGATACCATCGTTAAGGTTAAAGATCAAAATATTTTTCTTTTCCAAAACATGTTTACAGACACATAAAATAAAACACATATCATAAAACCGATACAATTATCACTCTCTGTTCAAAGTCTAAAATGCATTTGTGTATAAGTACGAGTTTTTTATACTGTTTAATTATTAAAATAGCTATCGACCATATTAAAGTTGTACAGATAAAAGAATATAACCAAATGATTAGCAATAGATGAAAAAAAAATAATATATTCACGGACAAACGTTCAGTTTATAAAAATTAAATAGTTTAGGTTTATCTAACTTATCAACACTGTAATTATTTTAATATTTTTAGTAAATTCTTATCGATATAATTCGATTGCCTTGTTTTTTCGAATTCAATTGTATTTCATTTCATGTATAACATTTGATTATCAAGATTTAAGATAATTAATATACATTTTGTAGCATTTCGTTTTAGGTAAATTTATTCTTTAAAGTTTAAAGTATAATAACTAAAAAGAATAACATAATTAATGTACTAATTTTTTGTTATTTAGGTATTCGAGAACGCATGAACGTGCATTTACGCAGTAAGTACAGAATATTTTTATCACACAAATTATTAACAGCAATAATACAAGTATAAAAATAATCACCCGGTATGCAATATTAATATCGATTATCAATCTGATTACTCATTTGAAACCGTCAAATTGTATTATTTTTACTTCTTATTACACGATTAAATTGCACTCGAGTTAAAAACTAATAATAAGGGAATTGTACTTAATAATATAATTTTATATAATTTATAAATTATAAATCCATTCACTATAATATTATGATCTTCGATTACCATTTTTAGTCAAATTACTTCTAATAAATGCGAGTTTTTTACTGTAAAATTTAATAAAACATTTTTAATCACACGTCCAAAAATATTGGTGTCTATATCAATATCATAAAATAACTAAGTAAAAATTCGTTTGAAAAAAATAACAAGTGTTTTAATATTATATTTTTAAAATATAGTCTAATCGTACGATGTGTAATTATATTAAAAATATAAATTATTCCTTAAATAATTTACCGGTATTTGTTAATAAATAAATGTTATGAAATTATCAGAATGAGAGCAATTCAAATATTACCTTTTTTATTTTTAAGCCTTAGTGTAACTCCGATATTGTAATGGTTTGCCTTGTGTGCAATTCGACTTTACCCTTCGTATTAATAGCCTCGACGACTCGGCTGTGCATATCTTTACATGTATAATCGTAAAATCTTTTGATAAAAGTCGTTATTGATGCAATGTAATATTATATAAACATCTGAAATATTATATTAATACGGGAAACAAAACAAAAAAATAAAATAAAATTTTAAATCGAAATTGTTTAATGTTTTATTATGATGAATCAAAATGTTTAAAATATTACACATGACTAAAAATGTGAATGAGTTATACATCATTAATGACATTTCTTAAATTTATTTTTAAATTTAATAAATATGACTGAAAACGTATAATTTATAACACTAGAATAAATTGATCGAATTATAAAATCAATAATAATACAATATTACGATGGATACAATTTTTTAAGTATTTATAATTTATATAATAATGGAATCTATAATAAACTATTACAATATAATGGTGTGTAAACGAGTATTAGCCGCCAACAAAAGGGGAAAGGTTAACAACAATTTAATATAGTGACCATTTTATTATCAAGATCAAAGAACAATAGATTAGTACATAATATTCTCAAAATGCTAAAATACATTTAAAATTATATTGAATGTATATTTGGTTAAGTGGAAGAGTGGTAAAATATTTTAGGTAGGTACTAAGTATATATAACGAAACTTTTACATAAATACTTATTAAATTGTATATGTGTGTACAATATAATAATAATTGTTTCATAAATTTTTTTTTTAATTTTTTTTTTTTAAGCACAATAATAATGGAATGGTAAATTAAAACGCCTTAATCATTTAAAACGTATACAAATATATTCAATTCGTAAACTACATGATCATACTGTTTGGACAGCTAAAAACAGAACGAATAATAATATATTTTATATTATTTTGTATTATCTATGGGTAACATGTTATATTTATACCAATAACGATAATATATATATTAGAATGATAAGTAAAACAAAACTTATCGGAGTCGAATTAACGAATAATTGTCTCTAATGATTAGGAGTTCAGTAAAATGTATTTGTATTTTTTCTCGATCAGTTTTTTATCGCGATATCCGTAATAATTATTGCACCAACGTAGAATAACAAAAAGACATATATTATCACAAAGTAACTAATATTATTTATTGGTTGTAAAATAGTAAGATGATATATATTATACATTTTTGGTACTGGAGTGGTAATTTCAAATGACGTGAGGAGTGAAGTGCAGAGATTCTCGTTGCTTAAAAAAAAAAAAAAAAAAAAAAAAAAAAAATCGCTATTTAATCTAAAGTTTGATAGGTAAGTAGGTGAAATTTGGAAAATGAAAAATTTCAATTTCTATCAGCTGGAGATGATACCATACAAATTATAGTCTGCTGCACTTGAGTAATGAGCACAGCGCAACTGTGTAAGCGTATGGGTACGAAATATTAGTATTTCCGACGTTGGAGAATAAATAACGGATTTCAACGTGCACTTATTTTGCGTTACGGAATTAAGTAAGGCTCCGTTAATTTACGAACCTATATATAAAATAATATGTATACGTTTAACTGTTGTGAAATTTTTATTTTAAAAAGAATTTTCTTACGATCATCGTATTATAGGTACTATTAAAATAACATCATTGTTTTAAAATATTATTTTAATTGTTAATATTAAGCCTAGAACGAAAAATAAGTCGTTAACCATAATACTTTATCCTATTATGCGGTTTTTGGTGCAATAAATACAAACTATTTTGAATTTTAACAACTATTAGATAAAAACTGTTGTTGCGAAACAATTTATAGAAAACCAATAATTATCTTATGGAACATCTACTTCAAAGTTTACTTCAAGCAATAACGAGAATTATTGTGATTAGCCTAAAATACAATTATAATTTTTATATTATTATACTTACAGGTTAACTTATAGTTATTTTCTAAACTCGAATAGTGTTCTTATACAATATAATATAACTGACTTAAAATTTTTAAAACATTACATTATTTTATAATTATTTACACTTAAATAGGTACCTATATTAAATACATAACAAAAAATTACGCCTATCATATTATAATATTACATAACAAATTATCATATATTTTTGTTCATTGTTATTATTCACGTATCTTATTCGTGTGTGCTTTTCGAGTAACTAGTGCAGGGTGAAAATATTATTAATTTTTTCTTTAGTGCGTATTAATATTTATTGTGGTAATTTATTATAATTTTTTTCCATCTTTCGTGGGTGACTTTGACGTCATTTTTGTGTTTTGTGTATATAACGAGTGCTATTTAAATTCGTCCGTTTAATTATTATTATTTTATTATCAAATTATTATTGTCAGAATTAAGGCATATCATTGTGTTTAGATTCATGAGAGAAATATATAATGTGTAACCTAACACTGTTTGAACCGAAAAGCATAACAAAATAAAATACAATACCTAACCAATCAACAAATAAAAACAATTAATAAAACACAAAACCAATACAATTGGCTGTCTAAAAACTGAAAAAAATTAAAATAACAAACAAAAACAAATTCCTTAACACCTAGCTTATTCTAATTTATTGTCGTGTCAGCCTTGAGATAACTACCAAAATAGTTATCTCATGTCTTAATCGTATATTATTAATATTAATTCTTAACCGTTTTAAATAAATATAATATATAAATACATAATATTATTAATACATTATAAAATAATTACAAATATTCATTTAATAAACAATTAATATCATATTAATAATAATATATAATAATAAATATAAATACGTATATCTATAACAAGCATAATATTGGTAAGATTTTAAATATATGAGTTTTCGTAAAATTAAAACAATAGAGGTGAATTTAGTTATTTAAGATCAGAAAATGTACGTTAATAAATGGTAAAAATTAGTTAAATCGAGTGACATCTGCATTTAAATGTTTTCACTAGTAGATACTTTTATGCCGGAACTGTATTTATTACTAATCGTAATTGATTATGCGTACATTACAATATTAATGAAGATTATCTGTTTGAAGTAAAAAACTGACAATATTATTTTAATTTTAGGTATTTAAAAGCTAATGACCATAGAGATATTTAAAATGTTCGATGGTTTTTTATACCAGCTATTTTTAAAATATTATTACACTATGATCGTGAACATGAAAAGTATTAACCGCACATTTTTACACTAAAATATACTAGAGAAGAATTAACCAAGCACGGAAATATGATCTATTATAGAGTATTAGAGTGATGGTGTAATTCGTCTATGAGTATTTTAAAAGAAAACTGTTTTAAAGACAATGTCTGCTTAGCGCATCATATTTCGCTTTTAATATATTTTTATACTCGCGGTATATAGCTGAACTGTTCTAAAAAAGTTGAGAATTTTTCTTTTTACTTGAGATCGGGCAACGAGAAAAACTTTAATATTATTTTTTTAACTTTTACGGAAACTATCTTTATAGTTTTTAAAGCGTGTAAATTTTGTATGACGATGAACAATAATCATATATGATGTATAACTATAGTATATGTTTGTGTGATCAATCGTTTTCTAATAGTTTTCATCGATGGAAAATGTGAAATCTGAAGAATGCAGTATATTTGTGTTGTGTATGACGGACCTAAACAAAATATTTTTTAGAATAACTTATCAGTCGTTTGAGGGAATTATATTCAAATATTTTAGTGAATTTGTTTACGAAATAATATAATAATTAATATTCGGCGAAGAAATCAACAGAATCGTATTTCATAGTATGACATTTTAATTGACATTATTCCAAAAATTTCTTAAAATTGTCTTATAATTTACGCGATTTTAAATCAAACTAACAGAAATAGAAAGAATTGTACGGATGAATAAAAAATTTTGATACTTGAAAAAAAGAAATTGTTGTGATGTTCGACTTCATCCCAACACGTAGGACTGTCGAGTTTATTAGGGGGAATGGGTTAATAGAACATTATATTTTTGTTCTGTTATCCGTCGTACATAGGGGTATTATATTATCCTTGTATTCTAAGTTCAACATCTCAGTTTTATTGAAACAACGAAAATATATAGCGCACTCGCTCCCGTTTTAGCTATGGTTCGCGTGCGTCATGCGTAATATTACAATATGTTATCATATTGTATCACAGTAGGACGAATTTCGAAAAGGCTCTCATCACATACGAAATATGTAATGGACATAATAATATAACTATATTATAGTACCTATACATATTATAAATTAAAATATTTTGTATTTAAATAGTTTAATAATTTACGCGTTAAAAAATTCATAACACTTACTCTAATGCCACATTAATCATTGGTCAGCATTAGACAAGGGATTTTATATTATTATCTCAACCGCGTCGTCTTCTATAATCTATATAAACCGTTTTACCTTGCACAATTTTACAATAATATCATATAACTACTTATTATGAATCACACGACGAGTGTCAGTTAAACATCGTGCTAGACAACAATCACGACGCGTGGGTGGAGAAAAATCTCAGCTTATAAATTGAAGATGACGGTTTGATATATCACCTACCTAACTTTTATGCGTATATGCATTGAGATTGTTACTACTGATCACATTTTAATGTACGTTCGATCCTGGTCGAGAATAGAAGAAAAAACGTGCATTATAAGTGAGTAAGTCTAACTTAATCTAAGCCTATAGGTATAATTGTAACACCTAGTACCTACCTATAATTATTATATGAAAAAACACAGTCGAGCGAATTTGAGCCGACGAAGCTTATTAAAATATTAATACATAATATTATTATTTAACATTCATTATGGAATAGTATCTATTATTACATGATATAAATTTAATATAAATTGACAGTATACAATATTATGCGATCATCGTCATCGTAATTTATGAAATTATAGTACTTACGTATTTCCAGGGTTTAAAGTAGTACTTAATATTATTATGTAGTAATATCATAGCAATAATAAAATTATATTATATTAAATTATGTAAAATTATTTTTTAAAACATTTATGATTTTTTAAATAGTGAGTGCGTTTTGAGTTAAATGGATTACACGATATACCATCAGTAGAATTGACAATATGTTTAAAGGGTTTTTACATGTTGTTCATGATTTAATGCGAGTGTTAAAACCCCGATGTTTTAATTGACTGAAAGTCGTGATTAATTTTTTATAATATCATATTATGTAACCGGATAGATATTATCATAAAATTAAAAAATATTCTGTTGACGTGCGGTTATAATGGTCAAATGATAATCAATTACACTACTGGCAACATTTTTAGAACATTTAAACGTTACAGTTGCATCCAACTAGGAAACAAATAATTTTTCCAAGAAATGTTGTGAACAAATCAACAACATTAATTATATAATTACCGACGACACAATAGTGTGTAAACCATTATTTTTATTAATAAAACTTAATTGGCACTGCATTTTTTTCTTCAAAATAAAGTTGATTTTAGATTTTAAATATTCGACTGAAGTACCTAATGTTATTCAATTTTTAGTTCATAATTAATATTATATTTTATTTACGTAATCTTGATATTGATATTTTTTAGTTAAACATTTTTCGAAAATAGCGGGAAACCGGGTACCGGGTTATACGTAAGTTCCATAATTTCGAATACAATTTTGAGTTTCTACCTACATAAAATTATGAAATATATCAAAATATTAAATATTATTGTTATAATTTTATGGCTGAGGGCTTTCGAGCCGACAAAGCTTTATGAAACATTATTATATAATTTTATATTTATTTTAACATCCGTTACAAGACAATATCTATTATTCGATATTGTATAAAAAGAAATTGACAGTATTTTATATTATTAAGATAATAAATAAGGGAACATCGATAAATGCATATTTATTACGATTTACGCTACATTTTATCAATAAACGCGAAATTCGTGTTCTAGGTCGTATTATAATTCAATACAATTTAGATGCGAAGATGAGTGAGTACGATAATACTATAATATAATAATAATAATAATTATTATAATGATAATTACTAATAATTATTACCTAAGAATGATTGAGACAAAATCGATTGTAATATTATTGTCTACCTAAAATTTATTAATTTAATATCTACAAAACAACTACACGAGAGAAAAACACAATTGAGACTACGCAATTAACGGTTATTATTGCTCGCGAAATACCGGCCTGTATAATGTAATATTCGTGAAATAATAATAATCGACGTTATGACAGTGCGATCCGAACTCGAATTATCCGTTAGATACACCGATTAATATTGTTATAACAAAATAAATAGGTATTAAAGTTATTATTCGGATGTAACGAATGGATTAGTGGCGGCGGTGGCAGCGGCGGGCTTGGCCAGAAACGGATTTGTCGGGTTGTCGGTTGGCGGCGCAGGTTCGGTATCACCGCCGTTGCTCTTGATGTTCAGGCCAGCGTTCACGAATCCTTTGCCCGACGACTGTTCGACCGAACCGTACGACGATAGCTTATTCTTCTTATCGACATTCACCTGTTGTGAAATTTTTGTATTAATATAGTATTATTTATGTATACTTTTTTTTTCCTTGGAGTCGACACGTTTGAAATGTCCCAAGCCGTCAGAATACTTGTAAAAATATTAAATATTCTTGCTAACGTATATTTAATTTTATAATTGTAATGTACGCGCGTTGTTAGTCAAAGCTAGTCTAAGGATTTTCAATATTTTGTCTTTACCAAAGAAAATTATATCGTTAAGTTAACGTTTAAAGTTATAAATTGAATTATATGTTCAAAATATAAATTTTCTACGGCGTCATAAGAAATGTTCTCTTATTATGTCATCGTTTCATCGTTGGTTTAAATATATTAGTCAAATACGTGTATTTTTTTTCCAACATCATTAGCTAAACTTTTAGAGTAAAAATTAAAAAAATAGATTAATTTGCCTATTCTCATCAATTTTTTTTTTTTTTTTTAGTGGCATCTTTGCAAGTGATTTGATTACGAGAATCACTTAATCCTATAAACATTTTTATGTCTTTATTAGTTGTATAAATGTATTTTATTTTATAACAGTGTAGAATAAATTCATATTTGCTGTGGTACAGCTATAATTCATCGATTTACTAATCAATAACAGCAATAATAATATATCATAATAATATGAGAAATATAGCACCATAGCAGTTAGAAAAATCAAAAAACATTTCAGTATAATATAATATTTATTTTTAAAGTAAAACTGGCCTACCTCTTTAAGGAAAAAAATGTTTACTAGATGGCATGACTTATTTTATTATTTATATTTTATTTTATACTGATACCTATTTTAATTATTTATTTATTAACTAAAGTAATTCAAAGTAATTCTATGATAGTTGCTTAGGCTACTTTAGTTAACTACGTATGAAATAGTTATGTGTTAGTGCATTAACCATATCAGTTTAACCATTTTGTTATTTAGTAATAAAATGGCAAAAACTTAAAAAAAATGAAATGTCAAAAACATTTTATTTAAATGATATTATATCTTGTGTTATTATTTCACCAAAATTATGATTTGAGAATCTTAAAATTATTTTTTTCTGAAAATAATAAATGTTTAAAATAAATTATTTTGGCGATATAATATGCCTATACCAAGGCCAAACATACCTCATCCATTTGTTGATCTTCTTCAACCTTGGGTTCGGCCCATGGTTGTAGTTCTCCCGAGGCGAATATACCATAAAATATCACTCCAATGTAGTGAATGACAGCTGCTAGTATGAAGACCTCACTCCAGCTCTGCCTTGTCTATAACAATTTAAAAATCAATCACGGTGAGAAAATTATTGCAGTTATAATATACGGCGCGTGTTCATCAATTTAGGGAGCATTGATTTCTCAACTGGATCAAATTGGAATAAATCGAATTTTTTTACAAATTAGTGGTGTATAAATACACATTTATAGATAAATTTCAAAATTGTGATCATTTTGGTATGCGCATGCGCAATAAAAATAATTTTTTTTTAATAACAATATCTATTTTGAACTTCATATTCGGATAGGGCTATTTTTTTGAAGTAATTATGATGGTTTTATATTAAAGATTGATTGAATAAAAACCATTTCTTTTTTATTAAATAAATAAATTTTTAAGATTCATTTAAGTGCATAAAATCATTTATAATTATTTATGATTGGTTAATTTTTAAATGTTTTTACGTATTTTTTTTTTTTATGTACGTATTATAAATAAGACCCATTTAACGATCAGCAAGATCACCAGATATTACTTCCATTTGATTTTTTTTTTTTATGGAGAATTTAAAAATGATAGTTTAGAAAGATCTACCAGTTAGTCTTGCAAATTAAAAAAAAAAAAAAATCGTGGTTGCATGTATTGTGTAATAACATAATTTAAAGTCAAATAATGTCAGCAACCAATAGAGAATATCTACAACGATTTCAATTACGCATAAAAAATAATGGAGGAAACTTTGAGCAATTTATTTAATAAAATAACTGTTATAAATAATATTTAATACACAAATGTACGATATGTATACTCATATAAAATAAATCTTATTTATAACATATATAAAATATAAAAAGTAAAAACATTCAAGAATTAACCCATAATAAATAATTATAAGTGATTTTATGCACTTAAATTAACCGTAAAAATGTGTTTATTTATTAAAAAGGAAATAGCTTTTATTTAGTTAATATTTAATTTAGAACCATAGTTGATATATCAAAATTACTTAAAAAAATTAGGCCTATCCGAATATGGTCTTCAAAATAGGTGTTGTTATTCAAAAAAAAAAATAATATTTTTATTGCGCATACCAGAATGATAAAAATTTTTAAATTTATCTAGAAATGTGTATTTATATACCATTAGCTTGTAAAAAAATTAAATTTATTTCGATTTAATTTGGCCGAGAAATTCAATGTTCGCTAAATTGGTGAACACATAATATATTAAATAAAAACGGTTTATCACGGTGACTGCGTCAAGAACATAATCAAGATTTAGTTATTAAATTACTAAAAGAATTGAAAATATTCAAGTATGACTTTTGACTTTTTATATATAATATAAAATACGTACAAATGTGTACTTGAAAGTTAAAAAAAAAAAATAACAAAATTCTAAATTTTGTATTCATAATAATATTATATTTTATATAATATAAAATATACATCTGGTGAACATAAAAAAAATAATAGTATTTTATAAAAATAATAATTATTTGTACATCTATAATTATGTGTATATTTGCTCATCACTGTTATATTTTGTTACGGTTTGGTGATATGGATAATGGTTGTGAAAATACTATAAATACCAAAGTTTGATAATTATATATATTATATTATACGTGCCTTATGTCTGATTATGATGTTGATCGCGATCGGACACAGGAGTCCGGCTATCGTTCCGATTCCGTTAGATATACCCATCAGTATACTGGCGTATCTCGGCGCAATGTCCAAATGGTTTACGTTGAATCCTGTACGTTAAAATAATAATAACATGCATAATATTATGTGAAAAGTTCTTAGTTTTCATCATATTAAAACATTTTTGATTGTATAATAAACCGTGATCTGTTTCAAAAATATTGAATGAATGCTTTCATATATGGATAAAAAAATTGATATTTAAATACATGTTATTAATTATTGCTTATTAAATAAATAAATGGTATTTATAAGCCTAATCGTCCAAAAAAACCATAAAATCTTTTTTGGGCATTCATTTAAATACCAAAAAGTTAACTTAAAAGTCAGTTTGATTAAAACAATACCGATTTTTAACATTCCAAAAACTGTTAATTTATTGCTAAACATAATATCAAACGTAAAATATAATTAATAATTCAGTAAAATAAATAGTATTAAAATTAGTTTCGGTATTAAATTTGTTGATGATTTAAAAACTTTTTTAAAGGTTAAAATAATATGTCAAGTTCAAATCCCACAGATTAGTTTTTTAGCAATTACACGCCATATATTCATATCATTTTGATTGACTTGAAATGAGTGATGAACGTAATATTAAACCAAGAATTTGAGTCTAGAATTGAATTGAAATAGGTCCTTAAATTAATAAAAAAAAAATCTTTGAAATATTGTAGATTGGAACCTATACCTAAAAATTTAAGCTGTCCTTATATCAGTCGATGTTAATCTGTCAATGTATTGTACATCGATTGTTCTAACTGTGCTTTCTCCATAGACTGTTATAGTTTGGGTTGGATTCTATAGAAACGGAATGGGATGGATAGGCTGAACTTACCAGAAATGGCGAACCCGCTGAACGCCACACCGCATGTCAAGGCAATTGTGGCCATGAGTGGTGTGCGTGCGTTGGCCAAAACGAGGAAAAATGTGGCTTCCATGCCGAAACCACCGCAGTTAAAAATCTTCCTGACAGCAGTCGTGGATAGGATACCGTTTTTCCGTATGTGATCGGCCAGTAGACCTCCGAGTGGCACCACTATGGTCATCAGCAGATGAGGTAGAGCTCCGATGTAACCAGTCTGCAATAGTAATAATACGTAAATTATTTGTCTATAGCTCGGATGTTGTAGTAAAAACAATCATTAAAAAATTATTCATGATTGTCAAAAATTCAACAAAAAAAATGAATTTTATTGTAGCTATTTCTCTTTCTAAAAGTAAATACGGCTACTTCGATATAACTATAATATAACCAGTATTCAAATCAATCTATCATTCATATATTGATGATATTATCTTGAGAGCCTAACAAATTATGTCAATAACGAAACACAAAAATATCACCAATTTCTGATTAAAATATTAAATAATTCAATAATAAGTAAGAAAGTATATTTAGAAGAAAACACATTTGTGGGAGGAAATTAAAAAAAAAAAAAAAATAAATACTTCTATTACTTCGTTACAATCAGAATGACACAAAAATACGAAATGAATTTAAGAGTATTACGAATATACAATATACTTATACAGTATATGTATATGAATACATATTACTTTTTTTTTTACGTTTCACATTAATAATAATAATTAATTCTGAACGTTTTAAAATATTCTCTAACGTCGTTACAGAGCTATCTCTACTCTATATATTGCACAATTCAAAACGTAATGGTAATATTTTGTATTTTTGCCAAAGAAATAAAACCACAAAAATTAAAAACATTAAAAACTCGCAAATCCAAAATGCACAAGAACGTATGTCAGTAAAACTTACGTATTTAAAAAGAAAAAGTAAATTAACACGTGAATAAGTCGAAAAAATGCTGTTAAAAATATTTCTTAGCGGAGTTCTACATGTTTAGCAATTAAAGTTTTAAAATAATTACTTATTTTAATAATAATATTAAAATGTTAGTAAAGTTTTGTATTTCCAATCTCTATTTCCTGATTGTTTTAAAAAGTACTAGGAGATTAAAGTGTTTATCTCCTGAAAGCACAAACTAGATCGAATTTTGAAACAGAAAATTTCTTCGAAAATAATGATTAGAGTACTGTTTCTACTAAAAAAGTGTCTTCAGACTTAAAAATAAAAAAAAACATAATAAAATCAATACAGTCATCATTCCGTTCTGAATCAAAAACAACTTGTTTGAATTTTGATTTTAATATGTCAATATTTTTACAAAAATTATCTGTTAAATAATTTGCATTTAAAAAGGCGAATTCTCATTTGAAAAACAAAAGGCTGTATGTCCACCAAACACTCTTTAAGACTTAAATAGTACAAAAAAAAAATCTCGAAAATGAAAATAAATAATTTTTAAATTTTTTAAAAATTACACATTTCGGATTTTGAATAATTGTATTATTAAAAATATTAGGTGGCGAGTATGCTTGATGAATCACTCTGTACATAATGTATGACATAATAATGTGCATAACTCACTGCAGACACTTCGAAGTTGAACGAGTGCAGATACGACGCCTGGAACAGCACCAGGAGGTAAAAGTTCCAAGACCGACAAAAGTTAGCGACTATAATAGCGTACACGGGCATGGAGGTGAAAAATTCTTTCCAAGGCGTGTTGAGGATTGTCGGTGCTGCTGACTGTTTGGCGGCACCCAACGACGATTCGATGTAGTTTAACTCTCTGGCCGATATGGTGGGATGGAGACTCGGCTTCTCGAAGCACAGCCACAGCCAGAACACATACCATATCAATCCCAAAACTCCTATAGTGTATAGAAATACGGTACATTAATGAATATTAGATATATTTTTCAATATTATACGAGACGAATAACGCAATAACAATTTATCACAAAAATTCATTATCTTTTTTAAGATGGCCCGGATAGAAATGTACTGTTTATTGAAATTATCTTTCAAGCAACTACAATTTAATTTGTGTACATTTTTTTTCACATAATACTATGTTAGTGTGTATACCACTATTTTTTTTTTTTTTTAAATGCACTTGTCAAATTTACAGCCTTCATCGTAAAAAGTATAGGGTTACCGTATACGTAAAACGGTGCCTCCCAGCTGAACCAGTCGATCAGAGTACCGGACAGCGGCATGCCGACCACTACGCCCGCGTACGAACCGCACAGGGCTATGGTGGCCAGACGCGATCTTTCCAACGGCGGCGCCCAATGTCTCCAGATTCCGTGACAAGCTGGATACGTGACACCCTGCGATCATTACACAAAAGTTACTGAATCATTTAATAACGAACCCGGGAGATGATTTGAAGATTTTGTATTTGCGAGGAAAAAATATATACCTATCAAAGTAGATAATCTAGCCTCCTATGTATCACATAGAAGTATCTCATGAAGTACACATGCTAATTATATTTTATTTTTTGAATTTAAATGTTATGTTTTTGATAGTAAATACGTAGAAAATATATTAATAATTTTTTGTATTTATTTATTTAAATTTTACACTTGTAATTTTTACCTTTAAAAATTAATTCAAATATTTATACTTAAGTTTAAGTTTATTTTAAATTACTTTCATCATAAAGAAACATACCAAATGATTTGAAATTATAATTTCAAATAATTAGATTTTATAGTAAATAGGTAGGTGTTAAAAAAATAAAATAGAGCGATCAGATGAAAAAAACAATTTTTTAAAAATAAAATTACCTATAGACTACGGACGGGGCAAAATTAATAGAATAGTATACGTATTACGTATTTGCCAATTAAACAGAAGAGGAGCTAAGTTTTAAAATGTACTTTAAGTTTTATTTTTTTATCTGGTCCCATACATATATATTATATAGTATACACCGTATTGATTATCACTTCGCAATGGTTAATATTTATGGCACACGGTCACGTGGAAAATTAGAATAAATTGAGTATTGAAATTGATTGTTGGTGACAATTGGCAACAATCGTTAGGTGTCAATAGCTGATTGACGTTATCTGAACCGATTTTATACGTGGACCAGACCAGATCCAATTCAAATAAAACAATTTTATTTAAGATTGAACCGAACTGCTTAACTAAATATTTTTGATAGGACTAGACTGAATTTATGTTAAAATCTACTCAACTTGATCCGAACCAAACCGTTACTTAATTTTATTTTATAAAATTGAACCAAATTATACGGTGGTCTAGTTCAGCTCGGACTGCTCATTTCGATTATGGCGCCAGAAAATTTTAAATTGTATTATAAACACGCTTGATTAAAACTTGTCTTAAAACGCTGCTTGAGCAATGTCTCGAATCTTGTTATATTATTATATTAAAATACACGATATATATATATATATTTTTGTATTATTACCTCAACCAGTCCTTGACACATTCTGATGATTATAACGTAAAGGGATTTCTCGATCTCCGTCGCCGAAGGCACCAACAGATTCAGACAGGACGACATGGCAATAGCGACCCCGAATACTCTGAAAAATGGATTCAAATGTTAAAATGTAATAATGTAATGTGAAATCTCTTATATTGAATAATCCTGAATGACTGTTATATATTATATTTTTCGGAACAAACTACAAATTCTCTTTAAACTGAGTTCTTGGAAAACTGGAAACTTTCGAATAGCAGACAAAATATTTGCAATCGAGAGTGTCTGGTATTTAAAAGTTTTACTGTACTTATAAGTTATAAGTAAATCATATTCTGCATATAACGCGAAACAGTATAATGGGGTAATGACAATATTTTCTAAGAAAATACCTCAGAGAAGAATAAATTGTGGTTTAGTTTTAAGAAAATATTTTCAAAAATTGTTTTTTTATACTTAAAAGATATTTTTGAGATTTATAACCTGCATGTTTATTAGATGACGTGTATAGTTAAAAATTACGATAATCGTGATGGTACGGTTTATAATAACAATAATTACGATATCAAATAAGAGTAATACGTCATGTATTATGAATTATAAATTTTAATATTTTCACTTGCAATACTGCTTGTCATGATAAAGCGATTGAAGAAATAGTTCGAAAATAAAAACTTTAAATGGAACATATAATGTCGTAATTTGGTAACCCGATGAAAACATTATTAATTATTATCAACTATTAAACGTTTAAAGATAATATAACTGAATACTTGTTTGCCGGATACATGGACGCCAGAAAACCACCGGGTACTTGGGTGATCAGATATCCACAAAAGAATGACATTTCGATGGCGACAAACGATCCAAGGGACCAGTTGATCTATAAAAATAAAATGTAATTATTGTTTACGCGCACGGTTGACATTTGTCGATCTATTTTGAGTAAACGACACAACGCTGATATTTATTTTTTTATTATAATATGTTCATTATTTTATTATATCAACAGAAACTTACCGGCCGTTCGTGAATCGGTGTGTTGGCCAAAGGCGTGTGTATTGTAGTTGTGGTGATATTTTGACTAGCGACATCATCGTCCTATGCAAAAGATTTAAAAGTTTTAAAAATCTATCATATTATTCAAATATAGTCTATTAATTTAGTCAGCTTTTTTTATTTAACTTTTTAACTTAAATTTAAGCATTCGTTGTAACGAATTAGATCTTAGCTTTTTCCAGTTAAATTGAAATCATGTTTATGCATAAAACATGTACCTAATTTAATTAATTATTATTTTTTATTTAATCATTGCATATATTATACAATGATTATAAATTCAATGTTTAAAAAAATTAACCTATATGGATGATAGATCACGTATAAATATTAATTTATTTTTTAAAAAATAAACTAATTTCTATAACTGAGTCAAGTTATTATTCTCCGTAATAATTTTAAGCTTTAAGAGTTAAATATATTTTTTTGTTACCTATAACGTAAAGCTTAACATTTTAACGTCGACTTAATTAACTTAAATTCATTTATTTTCATAAATTCATTCACATTTGCTTATATTATTAAGTATTATAAAATCACATGTACAATACGATATTTCATAAACACATGAATAGTATATGATTAACTACAGATATGTTTACACGTCAATTCAAAGTAAGTAACATAATGTAATATTGTGTTAATGATCTATTTTGACTCGACTGTACGAGTATGGAAAGTTAAATCGTAGTTTCTTATCAAAAACGCATAACTGTAAAAAATGATGTGAAATCACGTTGTGAGATGTACGAACACAGAAGTTTTCATTCGCGGTTGTTCGAACGGATAAACCTATCAAGTCAAGTCGAAGAATAAAGTTTCGTAAAACTTCTGACTCCGATGGCATCATCAACGTCACTCTCTGAACTGAACAAATCATTATTATACGGAGTGTATATCAAGAATATTATAGCTGTTTTAAACAAGTTAAATTTAAATATAATATATCTTCTAAGTTCCAGGTACGCTTTGTGTACAAGCTGAGTTACTGTTTAAAAATAATGACTTTTAATTGTGTAAAATATATTTTCAAAAAAAACTTATTTTCCGAGAAAATCTCAATTTAGTGATGAGATAATCGCTTTGTATACTGAAATTGGACGAGATTTTAAATTTCTTTAACGCAGCAATATCGAGTGGTAGAACCAGTGAAGTTTTCTGTAACGAATACGTCATGTCGAGTAGTAATAATTTCGAAGAATAAAAACAAAATGGTAATTAATATCAAAGCTGCGCATTAACGAGTTTGAAAGGATCCAGTTGATAAAAGATAATACTACTCACTTATTTGAAATAGTTAATAAAAACTAATAATTAGATTAAAAAAACGTACTTTTTCGTGGCTACATGTTGTTTAAAAGCAGAGGTAACTAAATTTATGATTATTTTTTATTGAAAAAGGCTATAATATTGCAGAAGTTATATTAGATTCGATTTCGAATTCCTTGAAAAGTTAGAGTCGCTCTTGTTTTTATGGCAAAATAAGTAAAACGACATGGTAAGATGACTAAATAAACTATGATATTGTTATTACGTATTATCATGTAGGTACCAACTTAAAGTCTGGATGGCGCACAACCTCAGTAGGTACCTATCTATAAAACGTCTAAGGAAATTTGGTAACGTTCTGTAAAAGCCATGTCACATACAGACCGATCGTTGGTTAGATAATGCAGTGTCGTGATGGGGAGGGTAGTCTTGCGTGATGTTTTCAATTATACGTGCCGGAAACCGCGCGAGTTACAAAGGATATTCACGACGGCATTTCTAATCGTAAATATAATATAATATAATGACTAAACAAAATGTATCAACGTATGATTATTATTATTGTTATTATTATTATTGTCTTCGTCTTGACCATACGGCGATGCAATACTCAATGACTTGGACCCGACAGCGGTACATAATATTAGAATATATTGTATATATCATCATGATTGTCATACGTATAATATATTATACAATACGAATTCCGTTTGGTGAGCAGCTATCCCGCCGTGTTGTGCACCGGTACGTGATGACAGTAGTAGTCGACATTTGAGCCAAGGGCGAGTTTGTGGCGAGCTTGTAAGCTGGTGTAAGAGGCAAGGGATGTTTTTGGCGGGTATTTGGAGAAAGGTTGCGATATATATTATTATATGGCGGCAACGGACAAACAAAATGCGATTGCTTTTGCCTCCGTCGTCATCAGACGTTGGACACGCATAAGCGATGCAGTAGCTTCATCCCGGCCTAGGGGAACTGTTCACATATACACATATAATATATATATATATATATAAATGTTATATGTGCAGCGCGTTTTAACCGGATTCACGGTACATTAAGCGTGTGGCAACTGAGGGCGCAACTGTGAAAACTCGAAAAAGCTGGCCTCGGGGGTGCGGTTCGGGTGATAATCGACCGAAAACTCGATCGGCGACGAAAATAATTGCATAACTACAAACCATATTATAATAAAAACTGAGCAAGTTAAAAAGTTCAAGTCAAGTTACTCATAACTTAACTAAGTTACTTAAATAGCGAGATACTTTTTTGTTGGGAACTATTTAACGAATTATAATTTGATCGATTAAAAAAGTTATATAATAAATCATAATTTGTTCATGAGTCTTATAATCACGTTAAGTTCATTTTTTTATTTAAACGAATTTCATAGATTGAAAATATATTTTATTCTGTAAAAACTATTGTTTATATATAAATAAAAAAAAAATTAAAAATTATCCTAAATAATATTATAATATTACTCGTATATATTTATATGTAATGGAAGTACTAAATTGTAAGCTATCGAAAAAAAAAATGTTCCTATTTATGGTTACAATATAATACGTACGACGACTATAGTGGCTTTAACGTGATTATTACATTATGTAACGCCTTATATTTTACAAACCAATAATTATCCTATGTTGGAAATAAAAAAGTTTTTCTATTATAGTCTTATTGATATGACTAAAATTTATGTTATCATATTAACTTAAATCTTACTATTTTTATACCAAGGCGATTGTTAAACCTGTTTAGCTGTTCTCATAATCAGTAGAGAATACTTTTCTAAACATTTTGACGCATAATAATATTACCAAATATTAAGCACGCCTCAGCAAAAGTTATTAATCGTTGATTCTATGAATAAATGATTATAAAAATTTTTTTACTATTTTTATGTGAAAAATATAGTCTTAAAATATTTTAAGTATAAAAACATTTTGTTTTTCAAAATCACAGAAGTTGATATGACAAATGAGTACAGCTTACATTTAAATGTATTTCCTCTATCTGCAGTAATATAGTGGACAGAATGATGAAATAATCTTTCTATCAAACCTATTTAATATTAATGTTAATACAGGTGAACTACACGTATAATTTAGGCAGTGATTTTTATGGATATTTTTTCATAACAATTTTAACTTGTAAGCTTTAGCTAATTTTTGAATATACAGTAAAACCTTGATTATCTGAACATTAAAATGATCGGCTGATGTACCGATTTTATCATTATCTTAATTTTTTATTAACGCATTACATACGTAATATCGGTGCGTCCAAATTGCATGCCAACTATTAGAGGGGTATGTCCGAATCGCATGCCGTGTACCTACAAGTTTAACTTTATTTATCATGCACTTAGGTACAACTTAAACTTTATTTTTGATTTTTCTATTTTTACAAAAAAAAAAAAAAAAAAAACGCATGAATAGAAACTGATTAGTTTCTAGATTAAAATATTTTTATATCTGAGTAAACATTTTACCAAATTGAAGAAGATGACACTGTAAATATTAAGTAAAACGATTTTAATTTAAGGTAGGTAATCAAGTGAATGTATTTTACATTTTTAGATGGCATTTCGAATAAATAATAATATCATAAAATTTGGTGTTTTTTTGACGATTTACAATATTTTATAAGTTTTTAATAATAAAATAAAAAAAATGATAATTTATAATAATAAAATATATTAATATTGCAAATATAGAATAAAATTTGAATAAAGTCAAAAATAAAGTTTAAGTTGTGCACATAAGTGAATCGTGCATGATAAATAAATTTGTAGGTATACGGTATGCAATTTGGACATAAACCTAACTAATAAAACTAAGAGGTAGCATGCAATTCGGACAGACCCTTCTAAGAGTTAGCATGGAACTCAGACATTTCCTTTTTTTTTTTTTTGGCAAGCAATTAGGATGCAGCCTGTAATATGTGCATAAATATTTTATAGATTATTGAAATGCAATAGTTTTATCTAAACGACGTCCTCATACTCTACTTGTTAGTGTAGTTTGATTTTCTATCGTCTTCACATCATTATACACATCGCGAGTGTCGAGTATTTACAAAGTTTAATAAACGTAAACGTAATGTTTTTACGATAGTACCAAAATGAAAATTCTTACAAATAAAAAATTAAAATAGATAATTTTGTCAAAAAAATATCTAAAATATATGTCAAATAAATATTATTACATATTATTCCTATGTAATTCAAATTTAACAATAATAATAATTAAAACTAAGATGCAATAGTATATTTGTATTGAAACTTCTGATTATTGCTTTTATCAGCAATGTTCACGAATCACCACATGATGAGGTAAATTGTGGCGTTTTTAATTTGCATATTTTTGAAAAAATGCATATTATTGTATATTTTGAATAAAATGATTATAAAAATACGAAAAATGCTTGTTTTATGGTATATTTCGTTACTAGATGTTTTTTTATCGTGTCACAGTGTGTATTGACGCTGTTCAAAAGTATCTATATAAGAATACATTAAGATCTAACAGAACATCGTTTAGTTTTGAAAATTTAAAACGTCATGTAATTGTTTTGTGTAATATATTTGAAAAGCATGAATAGTTAAAAATAATATTTTATTAATTTTAAAACGTAGTTTTTTTTTAATTTATACTTTTTAGCCTGTATAATATTAATGACACATTTTCAATAAACCAAATGTATATTTTATAATTTTTTATTGCATATAAATTCTAATCTTAATAATAATATATAATACAACTTGTATAGTTTTTTTTGTGATATGTATGATTATAATAATAATGAATAAAATATATCAAGATGTACACAAGTATATTATTTAATGAAATTTCGCTTATCCGAACTAGGTGCGGTCATAATAAGTTCGGATAATCAAAGTTCTATTGTATTACATTATGTATCACCAACAAAGTAGTCACTATGAAAAGATACATTTACAATTAATTAAATGAATGTAATTTTTATACAAGTGTTTTTCCAAATGGTTAATTGGTATAATTATAATTGTTTTATTTGTAATTTTAGAATATTTGGATTATAATTTATTCAAAAAAGATAAACTGCGTTTATATTTAGTGATAGTGATAAGTGTTTTACTTACATCTGATCCTATGTTAAATTTCAGTTTGGCCATTGACATATTGCACCGCATCCCAAATGAAATCATGAAACCTTTTAAAAAAAAAGTTTTTTGTAATTAGATATAGGATTTTGACGACTTTGCAATTGTTTTTCTTTAAGCATTTTACGGTGCTAACTAAACTGCATACAAATGTTTGTCATAATTGTGTAATTAAGAATAACTTGAATTTTGAATTTTTCGTATTCTATTATATTTCTTTACACATATTTTGAACCTAAAAATATATATTTCTTATCTTAAATTCAAATTTATTTTATGTTTTAAGTTTTAACTCATTTTTTGTTATTTAATATCCAAATTAAAATCAAATTTTAAATTACTTATTAATGATATAAACATATATTAATATATATATATATATATATATATTAATAAAAGTAATTTTATAATTTAATTTTAAAATATGTTGTCAACTAATGATAGGTAGGCACGTTTAAATAATTTGAGATTTTACAATACATTCTTAAAGTTTTATATTAATTTATGTATTATTTTTATTGGGGAGAGGGAATATACTTTTATTTTGTAGGTCATCAATATCCTATCTCTAGTTATTATAATATACAAGCAGTTTAATTGATAATGGTATATTGTAAATCACTATCATATGTCATCAATATCGTTAAAAATGTTATGTGAAAAACATAATATTTACCGACGCATGTTAGTATAGCTATTGTATATCGTTTGCTGAGATTCGGTATTTCCGGCTTAATGTATTTATCGATGTGTCTGAGTGGTGGACGAACGGGCGAAGACAATGACTCGGTAGGACTTTGTAGACCGAATTCACCACTACCCGAATAATCTTCAGTGTAGCTGAAAACGAATAATTTTTCAACTAACATGTTAATTATAAGAAATACGAAATTGTTATTTATATTATTATTATAAAAGTTCTACCAAAAGTATAATGTAACAATGATGATAATAATAATTATTATAACGACAATAATAAAATACATAAATTGGTAATTGGTATTTACGGAATGGAAGACTTTTCTAAATGTGATTTGTTTGCGAATTCGAACTCATCGTATTGTTGTTGATTTGGGCTGAAAAAATAAAATAAAAAATAAAAATCAATCACTTTGTCTGTAATATAATAAGGTGGTGCGTTTTGATAAACTTTTGATTAAATCCGTTTACAGACAATCATTCTGTTTAATGTTATACAATTTAATTGTATGATTATTTTTTTAAATATGACTAATTTTCTCTATTCTATACATTTTTTTGTATATTTTATCATTCACTTTATATAATTTTCATTGCAACTAAAAAATAAATAAATTATAATTTTTGTTAATTAACTACTTAATATTCTCTATTATTCAAAACTAATTTCATATTTTATCATCCATAGGTTGTATTATTTTAAAAACAGATATTAAATTTACAAAGGACTTGGGCAACGGTACGAAGCCCTCAGGATAGTTAGCATTGATTAAATGACGAGTAAAACAAACAGGAGCAGAGCCCCCTAGTTATGTATAAATATTTTTTTTTCCTATACAATAATATAACTATTAAATTATCACATGAATAATATTTTTTTTTCTGTTGAATAATTAAAACATGATAAACTACAATAATACATAAATAGTATAATATAATGAATTTAAAATAAAAAAATAAATGCCTAAAAAGACAACAAAAATAAAATTTTAATTTATCCAACATCACTTTACGAAATCACCTAAGAAAATAAACAACTTACTTAATAATTTACATTTGAGGTTTGTATATGAATACACATACGCATATACTTCTATATAGATAATTTTATGATATTAACGTACATTGTGATTTTTTAAAAGGTATATAATTATATTATTGAAAAGTTTAATGGATTGGCAATATTTTTTTTTTTTTAGATATTTTAAAATAATTAAAAAACAACATTTATAAAAAAATTACAATTCTTTTTTAAAAAGCTTTCAACTATATGCATATATTAAAAAACACAGTGTTATATTCGTATATAATTTTTGTGATTTCTATTAAATACATACATTTATAGTTTCATATTCCAAAGTATAAAATATTTTTGAAATTTTTGTTATATTCATATTAAATTTAATATAGGTTTAATTAGTTTATTAATTATATAACGATTTATTTGAAATTCAGTTTTTATATACTCGTATATATCATATTATACAATTTCTCAAAAAAAAAAAAGAAAATAAATGTAATATTCTGGTCAGAATATTAAATTGAAAATATTTACCGTCATTTAAAAAATTGAAAACATAATGTAAATTAAAAAAAAAGACTAAATTTATCGCTAGTGGCCGCGTTTTTGTGAATAAAAATGTGTATCCTATGAATCCAATCAATATGATTAGAACAGCTGTACTTGAAATTAATCCACTAATAAATGAACTTTGAATTTCAAACGAGTATAGTTAATTACCATTCATAATTTAAAAGTATTTAATACATATTATATAAATGTGCTGAGTAAGAGCTAATATTTCTACCTTTGTACCATTCTATTTCTTATTAACACTTAAAATAAATACTTGTAAGTCATATACCTAACTTATTATAATTTGATTTTTGTACATATTCCAAAAATGTTTATCAGGAATGCTTTTATGATGGAAATAAATAATATTATCTAGAAAATAAATCACAGAATAATTAAATTGAGAAATGTTAATTTCAGGAAAGCATTTTAGATGAAAACAATTCTCAGAAATTTAAAATTAAGGAAAATATTAATTAGGAAAAATTATATAGGAACTAAAACGTAGAAATATTTTACAGAAAATTATTATTCCGGATTAATAAATTTGTTTTGTAGAAGGAGAATTCATGGATGGTACTATGCCGTGTAGATATTTCTATGGTTTTGAAATTGCAGTGTACCTATTATTCGTTTGATTTATAATTTTACTTTTTATAGTTTTCTATATTTTACTCTTCTGTTTTCATGGATTTGATAAAGCTCCTCGAAAAGAAAAATATTGTCTTAGAATAAATTGTTAAAAATGTATGCTGAAATAAAAGTAAAAAATATAAAAAAATATATAACGGCTTCTAATTATCGCTATTATCATCTAAAAGAATATATTATTTTGAGTACCTATTTACTTTCATAAACAATAACAATTTTCAAAATAATCGTTATGTACACAGTTACACGGAATGCACGTGTGATTCGGTTACAATAGGTGTCACGATCATATTGCACATACCTACAAGACGGGCTATTCCACCGACGGAAAGATAGAGGAAGAGTAAGAGAAGAGAGGCCACTCGACGTCGGGACCAGACACGAACGTCGCCGACGCCGTCGTTACGGAATCGCGTCCCCCGTGTATTCGCACCACGAGTGATTAAAACCGAATGGGGCGCGTCGGCGGCTGCACAATGGTAAACGGCAATTCAATTAATTTCCGCGAACGCCAAACCGACTTACATTATATAATAAATATATATATATGTGTATACTATTATTATCGTGTAATATAAACGCGCGTACTTGCATTCTTATGCTTGGCGTTCTTTGTCGGGAAACTTTTTTCACTGCAGTTTCTCCTCACTGCACTATAGCGCACAAACGCGTTTAACTCTCAACCGTGTACACTCTTCAGACGCATAAAATATTAATATGACGATCAGAGTGTGGTGTGACGCGTGCAAGAATTGAATATTTTCAAAGCCTCTAAGGTTGTAATAGTTTATTATTAGGTACTTAGTATAGAATGTTAAATCGTTTCGTACAGATTTTCTACGAGAAAATCAATTCGAGGGTTACGCTACTGTAGATAGTTTTAAGTGCTGTGTAGGATAAATTCACGATTAAATGGTCATCAATATCGCATTCTGCTTAATAATCATGTATTGTCGCAGTGACGAAACGTGTCTACGGACATCATAATTTCTTGTTCTAAATACACCGATTTAGAGGTGTCTTACGGATGGTATAAAAACCCACAGATAAAAGTATAAAATTTAAGGCTCTATAGTCACAGACTTGACTATGAAATGATGTCTTGGCTTGAGTCAATGCGGCCAATACATTTTTATGTCCCTCAATACTTGTCTCGTTCTTGCCCATACATTTGCAATAAAAATCCACCATACTTTATATTATGGTCATAATAGCTCGTATCTCAGAAGAATGTAACAAATCAAACAACGTTGATCTATTCGGTATGAAATGCCTGTTATTTCAGCCTGTTGATTATACCTATTTAAATTTATCTCTCTCTTTGTATCCATATGATACTTTGACATTTTCTTTTTATTATAATTTGTGTTGTATTCAATTAAAGTATTTTTTAAATATAAATTGTATTTATTATGTTATCATAACTTACAAGTGTACGAACATTTTTAAATATGATGTAATATCTTTGAGCATACGCGGGTGTTTATGTTGACAAACAAATATATAAAATAATTTTGATACCTCTCTAAATATTGGAAAATTCACCCTCAGTACACTATCCGCAAGAAAAGTCTATATTTCCAAAGTTTTAATACAAATTTAACATAGCTAATGCCTGTCTTTAATTCTTTATGATGAAAAAAAACAACGTATATTAAAAAAGTTGTATCACGCTTGAATTATATATATAACGTAAAGTAAAATTAATTTTTTTTAAATTTGATCTATAGTTCTAACTTTTATTTTACCTAATAAAAGAAAATAATACATTTTCGACTAAATATGAGTTTAATTTGTGTACCACATCCAATAGTCCATGATTTTTTTTACGACATAAAAGGGAGGGAAAAATCATGATGACTTTTAATATCGATAACACGTTGCCGCATGAAAGATTCTACAGGCCGAGTGTAGAGTGCAACGTTATATTATATAAACGAGGTAACTATATATAAACCATTGTCGTCATCGTCTATAATCGAAATTCAATCCCGCGGCCGGAAGGGACACAAATCTGCAGCAGCATACTGTTCCCTCTCGGCCTTGTCCAAAGTCGTTCGCGATAACGACAGTTTGATTGATGACGACCGGACCGACTTCAGACTTATAAATATAATAAATCGCGTACGTGGTCCGATTCGCCAGCAGAAAGCAAAACAAAAACTCACGCCCGCGGTCACCGTGGTCACCGCCGTTTCAGAAAAAGAAATAGCCGACGACGTCTGTCACACACTACTCTATTAATCCCCCGACTTGTCGCCGATTTCTCTTTGTTATCCCACACACACACACACACACACACACACACACACACACATATATATACCATGGTTATAGTCGAGACGTTCTGGATGGAGCGAAAACTGCAGCCTGCCGACCCCGCGCGATCCATATGTCAGCCCTCGACGGCGATGTGTTTATTACAACGAATATATCACCTCGATAGCGCGACGACGTCTGACGCGTAAATGGCTTTTATAAACAAACCTCTATATACCTACGTGTATAATACGCGAACGTGCCACTCTTCTGGGACGCTTCCACACGTCCTTAACATAATCTACCACCAATACACCCACCCTTTCGGCCTTTCCAAATCTACCAATGACAGTGTACGAAGCGAGTCGACTAACCTGACCGCGGGTCCCTGAGAACTGAAAGCCTCATTAGAGAAAAACACATTGTTCCATATAGACGCGCACACGCACTATGACACGTGTGATTGTTATTAACTGTATTTTTTTAGAAAAATTGAAACTCACATCCATACATATTTTATACTTGAAAAAAAATAGCTTATTCTATGTAAATATACTCAGTCTAACGATGAAATTTCACCAAAAGAAAATCTGTGTAGTTACCTAATCACTTAAGTTTTTATCCCGTAGATTGTTCATCACACAAGTACCTACCATTCTCAGTATTATAAATAGGTATGTCTAAAATCATATGGTATTTCATTAAATACTTGGTTCCAAAGTTTTAATGTTATCGTGATGATTTTTGTGGGTTGTACCATAACGGTAAAAACGTAAATCCACCTACGACGCTCGGTACATGTCTACAGAGGTTTCTGTAATAAATTAATCCATTACATAAAAACAATAGTTGCTTTAAAATAACTGTAGAACTCTATTTGACGATTGTCCA